TATTAAAATAAGGTTTATCATCAATGTATATATATATATATATATATATATATATAAAATGTGCATTATACTTATTTTTGGTGTGGTTCATGTGTAATTTCAATATATTTTTAAATGTTTTAATTAATATAAAAGAGATAAATGCACCATTTGTTATTTTATCTTTGTTATTAAAAATAAGAACAGATGCAAAAAAACAACAACAATTAAACAAATATAAGAAACAAATAGTGCATTACTTCTTTCATTTTACATCTAAATAAAAGCATTCAAGTAAGAACAAACAATAAAATGTAAGAATCACTCGTCACACTGATTATTAAACCTACAAAAGCTGTTCAATCAAGAGCAGTGATCTTTTCTTTTATAGTAAGTCCTGCTGTACTGCACGGATCTAATATAATGTTACACATCAGAAGTTTTCCCCAAACGTTCAGAACAGATTATGTTTTAGTGACGAGCCTACTGTAGCTCTGTGCATACAGTATGTGTATGAATCGGGATCGCGTGAGAAGCAAGCAGAGAAAAAGACACTCCTCTCAGAAAACATACAAGTCAAGATTCATTTAGATGTTTAATTACTATTCTGGAGCTGAGGGCTTAAGGAACTCATTTTTGTGAGAACCTCAGATTCAACATTTTTCACTCTTTGTCTGTAGACAAGTCAGTGCCGCTGTAGGCCTTGAGCAACCGAACACAGAGCTGAAGACGGAGTGAGTTTGGGGTCGTGAGGGTTACGAGGCGTCTGCGCCGAGGCCGCGATATCAAACTCTGAATCACGAACACTACAGCAACGACTCTCGCTCATCATCTTCACGCAAACCCGAGTTCAACAGCCATGAGACTCCCAGAGCTGCCAGAAAACAAACGCCCGTCGTTCCTGGAGGTTTCTAATCAAGAACAGGATTCAACCTTGACGCTCTCTGGAATGAAAGCGAGGAGCTTTGATTCACGACAAAGAGCCGCTTTGTAAATATTTCTGTTTTGGGAATGGATCACTCAGATTTGTTTTTCCTTCCGGCGATGGCACATCTGTGCTAAAGATGTCCGGCGTGATTGACGGATCGCTCGCTCTCGTTCCACAGCCGCAACAAAGTGACAAATTAAAGTTAATCTGTGACTTCCTGTCTTCACAGGAAACAAAGTGAAAGCTCGGGGCGAAACGCTTGGAGAACATGAGGAGAGATTCAGTCAGACTGAGCCATCAGAACCGTATGTTCATAAAACACGAAGTAACATGTTTTGAACCATTAGACGACACATTAGGCCTGAAACACTCGATCACGAAATGTGTCAGAACACAATGCTATAATAACTCATGTTATAGCAGCACAAGAACACACGCTAAAGTTGAACAGGACAGTTTAGTTTTAACGCCTCGACCCATTATTCATATCTGCCCTTTTCTAATGAAAATTAAAGACTGTTTCTGAAGTGTACCTGTGTCTATCTACACAGAAATACAAATAGAACGAAAGACAGAACAACAGACAAACAGACAGATGATGTTTGTGTCTTGTGGTTTTTCAGAGAGAGATTGATATTTAACATGCAGGAACGAGAGAAATCCATTTCTTGTGGTTTTAGTTAAGAAAGCAAGTGTGTGTGAATGTGAGAGTCTGGAGCTGGAGACCAACGTATCACACAAACACTACACAAAACTCAGCAAATCAGTACAAGACTGCGAGTGTGTGTGTGTGAGTGTGTCTGTGTGTGTGTGTGTGTGCATGCACATAATGCATTACTTTTAAAAGTAACTTTCCCCAACACTGGTAATGATTATTAAGAAAACAACTGGAGGTAAAGATGCAATATTGCAGGTGATTTTGCCTTGGAACCTTCAGAAAATTTTAACTCGATTTTCCTCGAAATGGACTTTGCTGACCCCATCGACTTCAAACAGGTGTAGCTCAGTCATTTAAAAAAACAACCAAAAAAAAAACCCCCTCATTTTTGAAAATATGCTCATTGTGACTCATTTTGCCAGCACAGGTCACATATGTGTCCCTGGAGCACAAAAGCAGTGTTAAGTCGCTGGGGTATATTTGTAGCAATAGCCAACAATACATTGTATGGGTCAAAATTATACATTTCTCTTTTATGCCAAAAATCATTAGGATATTAAGTAAAGATCATGTTCCATGAAGATATGTTGTACATTTCCTACCGTAAATATATCAAAACTTCATTTTTGATTAGTAATATGCATTGCTAAGAACTTAATTTGAACAACTTTAAAGATGATTTTCTCAATATTTAGATTTTTTTGCACCCTCAGATTCCAGATTTTCAAATAGTTGTATCTCAGCCAAATATTGTCCTATCCTAACAAACCATACATCAATGGAAGCTGATTTTATTTGATTTCAATTTTAAAAAATGACCCTCATGACTGGTTCTGTGGTCCAGGGTCACATATATTCATAAAAAAAAAACTCCCCAGAAAAAAGGACACTTTCTCTCGAGGAACAAAAATGTCAGGTGCTCAAGCCCTCTTTGATGTCTATGTGTCTCTCTCTCTGTCTGTTCCAGGATGAGCTGTAAGGTGGCACTGTGGCTGCTGCTCGCCGGCCTGCTGTGTCTCGCCTCCGCCGGCCGTAAAACCCGACCGCAGGGATCCATCCCGTCGCCCTACAAGACCAACTCCAACACCTCCGACCGGCGCGCTCGCAAACAGGAAGTGCTGGCCTCCAGCCAGGAAGCTCTGGTGGTGACAGAGCGCAAGTACCTGAAGAGCGACTGGTGCAAGACACAGCCGCTGCGGCAGACGGTCAGTCAGGAGGGCTGCAAGAGCCGCACCGTCATCAACCGCTTCTGCTACGGCCAGTGCAACTCCTTCTACATCCCGCGGCACGTCAGGAAGGAGCAGGAGTCCTTCCAGTCCTGCGCCTTCTGCAGGCCGCAGCGCTTCACCAGCCTCACCGTGGAGCTCGACTGCCCCGACCTGCAGCCGGACATCCGCTATCGCAAGATCCAGCGCGTCAAGCACTGCCGCTGCATGTCCGTCAGCGTGTCCGAGTCTGGGAAACAGTGAGATCCTGACCACGTTTCACTGGAAACACCTGCTGCTAATCTGAGCTGAAAGACTGCAAGGCTTCAGCATGCCATCTTAATTCTGTCCTGCTGGACACTGGTCAATATCAGCCACCACTGGTCACTGTCGGTCACCATTGGTCTCCTACGGTCTCCATCAGTCACCGTTGGTCACTATCGGTCATCAGCAGACATTATCGGTCACTACTGGTCTCCACTGGTCACTCTCGGTCATCATAGGTCTTCATTGGTTACTATCAGTCATCACTGGTCTCCATCGGACACTATTGGTCTCCATTGGTCACTACTGGTCTCCACTGGTCACTCTCCGTCATCATTGGACACTATTGGTCACCATAGGTCTTCATTGGTTACTATCAGTCATCATTAGTCTCCATTGGTCACTATCAGTCATCACTGGACACTATTGGTCACCATTGGTCACTGTCGGTCACCACTGGTCTCCAACAGTCACTGTTGGTCACTATCGGTCATCATTGGACACTATTAGTCACTATCAGTTATCATTGGACACTATTGGTCACTACCAGTCATCATTGGACACTATTGGTCACCATAGGTCTTCACTGGTCACTGTCAGTCACCATTGGTCTCCAACAGTCTCTATCAGTCACCGTTGGTCACTATAGGTATTAATTGGTTACTATCGGTCACCACTGGCCTCCATCGGACACTATTGGTCACTATTGGTTATCATTGGACACTATTGGTCACTATCAGTCATCATTGGACACTGTTGGTCACCATTGGTCACTATCGGTTATCATTGGACACTATTGGTCACCATAGGTCTTCATCGGACAATATCGGTCACCACTGGTCTCCACTGGACACTATTGGTCACTTAGTCATCATTGGTCACTATTGGTCACTACTGGTCACTATCAGTCATCATTGGTCACCAAGGTCATTATCGGTCACTAGAGAGTGTGTGGAAACTAACTGACGTGCAGAGAAATGACTCCACACTGAACTCTATGCAGGAGCTGCTGCCACCTGTGTGATTATCAGTGATAGTTAACACCAAACATGCATAACTAGACTGATTGTAGAGATTCTATAGAAATATGGTACAGCAAAAGTATATATATGTAGAGAAACAACTTAAGTCTATATTAAAACTATTGAGTTCTATTCTCGTCTTCTGTTTTTTAGGGGTTCAGTCTGGTTTATCTAAAGCTGACATGGGAAAACTAGCCTTTATGTGGTTTAATCCGGTTGGTTTTTCTCCATTGGTTAGTAGTTATTTTGCAATAGAGTTTGATTTGCACCATTTAAAAACCCTGGAAGATTCACATTATTATGTTTGACAACCTCAGTAATCAATTCAACGCAGATCCAATGTAAATCTGCATATTTGCGGGGAAAATTGGTGCACTGGATATTAAGGCCTGCCCACACCAAGAATGAGAACTATAACAAAGTTTCAATAATCGCTGTAACTATAAGAGAACAGTGGAGTCCATATCGCAACTACATAATATGGACTTTTTAGTCTCACAATTCTTCTCACTTTTTTCCTTGCAATTATTGGTTTATATCTCACAGTTCTGAATTTTTCTCACAATTCAGAATTGCAAGATATAAACTCAGAAATGCAATATATGAACTCCGTACTGCATCCGAAAAGTCTGAATATTCGAGAAAACACGCAATTGTGAGAAAAAAAAAGTAATTAATTCGCTTTCAATTTATATCTTTTAATTCTGACTTTTTCACTGAATTGTGTTTAAATCTGACAATTTTGAGATTATATCATGCAAAATGGAGGACAAGTCAAAATTGTGAAATATAAGCATGCAATTGTGAGAAAAGGTCAGAAATGTCCGATTAAAAAAAGTCGCAATTACCTTTGTTTTTTGTTTCATGGTAGAAACAAAGAAACAATTCCAAGATGTAAACTCAGAATTCTGACTTTTTCTTGCAATTATGAATTTACATCTCGCAATTGACTTTTTCCTCTGAATTGCACGTTTTTGTCTTCTTTACGCAAATGTCCTTTTTCTCAGAATTGAGAAAATTGTGAGATACAAACTTTATAAAATTTAGAATTGTAAGAAGTCGCAATTACCTTTATTTATTATTTTTTATTCTGGCGACAGAAACAGGCTTCCATAATATAACGATTACCTTCAAAGCGATTTTGCAGAATGTAACTTAAGTGCACTTACAATAAACAATGTTATCGTCCGTTTGTGTGGACGCTAATATCAACCTTTTTCCTACGAGCATTATTTCCATTATCTGGAAGAGTGATGGATATTTCAAAAAAGTGCTTTCCCTCAGTTTGACAAATTGTATTTCTTGCTTCGGAAACCTTCCAGTAAACACTGGGATTAGAAGTGAAAAAGGGGTAGAAAATGACATCGTAAAACAGCCACATAAAAAGCAAACCAGGAAAGAGACGTGAATGAGGATTTGGGGAGGAAAAACAAGAGATTCTTAAGCATTCCAGCGAATTATTTATGGTATATGTTCATTTAATCAGAACAATAGACCATGAGAATGCAGGATCTGTTGCATATTGTTAATCTTATAATTTGAAATGATGTGTTTGAGTCATTTTGAATGGCAGTTTTTGTTGTGAACGTCCCTTTAACACAGTAAAATGTGTTAAACTGAGCTGAGAGTCCTGCACTCTTATTAGCATCTGAATAATAACCAACAAAATCAACCAAAATGCTTGAGACGCATAATTCAATCCTGCAGACGTTCATAAGATTAGAAAACATCCCATGGTGAATATGCAAGTAAATCTCCAATCGTGTGAAATAAATTCAAATGTCTGAATTTATTAATCCCTTTATTTTACATAAATTACACTCTTCTCAAAACGTTCCGATACAAACAGTTATTGCACATGGAGCGCAGATGTCCATCCACACCTCCGACACGCACATGCTAAAAACAAACCAATGCTACATAAACATGTTAATATTTACATTAATTTAAAAAACATCCTCTTAAATACATCGAGTGAGTGAGTGAATGCAGCAAAAACAGAAAACAATCTTGCATAATTTCACAAAAACACCGAGTAGATTCCTGAACGTTCGCCGCCGTCTGATCTGATTCATACTGTACATACTGGAGTGTCTCTTTCAGGTCCTGTAGGACTGGAGTGTGCTTTGAACATGTTAAACCAGCTGACTAGAGCACTAAACTGCACTATAACTAGTGTTGGTTTAAAAGCATGTGACGGTGCCGATGTTTAAAATAAAGACGCATCAGAAATCCAGATACTCTTGCTTTCTCTTGCCTTTTTTCGTCTGTTAAAAATAAAACTTCGTTTTGATGATATTGCTTCAGTCCTCCAGTATGTACGGTGATATGTAACGTCTGATATGTTCATCCATCAGGACACAGGATATGACATCACATTCAGACGGCGGATCACTTCCTGTGTGGTACGGCAGATGGTAGAGTAACACTGAAGATTTACAGACGAAACGTCACAAGAGTCAGTCCACATCCGCCTCAGATCTTCATGCCCAACTTTGCTTTCTGAGAAGAAATAAAGAGGCTCATTTAATGAAAGTTTAATCTCATGCTGCTTTCAATCCATTCAGCTCTCATAATCTCAATTTCACCTGTACAAATGGCAACATCCTGAAAATAAATCTGCGTCTGAATTTCTCATAGCTCACTGTAAACACTTTTATAAAGGTCAGTGCATTAAGTGTTCATTTCAGGACCATGAGGAACGATTAGAGATGAGCAGCGTCTAGAGCTCTGGAGAGACTCCTCAGAGTCAAAGCTTTAGAGCTCAAATACTTTATTAGGGCTTGGTAAAAAATATCGATATCTCAATAATAATCGATTCTCATTTTTACGGACCGATATTGATTCTTAAATCCCAAGAATCGATTAGTCTAGCCTGTTTTCAGTTACTGTAATGAACGGAACATTGATTGAAGGGCACTTCCCAACCAATTAATTGCAATAAGTATTGTACTTTGGTACTTTTAATATGAAAAAGTCTCAGATTTCAAATTCTGTCCATTGTATCACAGTATTCAAACAATAAATGCCGTTTTGGCGCTGTTTAATGTGGAGTGACAGATCGCTGTAGCGCCTCAGATCAACAGACATGAACTGATCATCTCCTCCGCTTTATTACTAGTTATAGCACAAAATAAACATGACTAAACATCCGAAGGCAAGTTAAAAGAAAGAGTACAACTTTACAATCCGTATCCTGTCTCATGTAATCGCTCAATCAGTGTTTCAGCCGCGCAAAGACCTCAATATAACGACTCGTAAACAATACACATAACGTCACATTTACCTCAGAAAAACATATTCGGTGACCATAAACTCATTAGTCAGCCAGAAAAATAAACTGTAGAGAGGGGCATTTTGCTAAATACTGTATATGCACCATATAGCCTAACATATTCATTATAATTTTTTACTGTTCTTCAATGTTTAATTTGTTTGAATAAATACATCAAGTTTTTATGACAGCCACCATTTAAATGTTTATATGACAAAAATATTATGTTATTTTAAAAACTTAATTAAGTGTAATTTTTGCAGTTGTATAGCCTACAAATCAGTCAATTTTAACCTTCAATTTTATAGTAATGTAGTACCAACTGACTCATGTATATTTTAAAGCATTAGTTGAGAGATTTTTTTTCCTTGAGAAAATTTGGCATGTACTGTACCTGATATATATACAAAATATTGAATATATCCAAAATATTGATATCGAATCGAATCGGTAATCGAATCAAAAGCTTGTGATTGAGAATCGAATCGTGAAATGTGTGTCAAAACCCAGCCCTATACTTTATCCAGTGGCGGAAATGGGCTTCCATAAGTAACACATTTTGACTAAAGGATAAAACAAGGTAATTGTGACTTTTTAATCTCATAAACTCAATCTCGTAAACTCTTGCAATTGCATGATATAAACTCACAGTTGCGTTATAAAGTCAGAATTGCGAGATGTAAACCCACAATTGCAAGAAAAAAAGTCAGAATTGTGAGAAGTCGCTTTTTTAATGGCGGAAACGGGCTTCCATAGTTACTTTTAAAATATAACACTGCATTTAAAAAAACATTTCCATGCATGTGGCAGATGCTTTTATCCAAAGTGACTGATCAGTTCACGCATTCTCTGGGAATCAAAATGATGTGTCATTGCAAGCTTATGATCTACTGTATGAGCTAGAGGAATATAGAATAGGAATCTCT